AAAGTACTCTGCCTATTGAAGGTCTTCTGTTTTCTACTCTAGTTCTTCTGCCTCAAAAGCAGGGGGGGAAAAAAAAAGTATTTCTATGGTCAGATGACTTCCACAGGAAAATTTCACCATGGTTTGACCAGGCTGCAGGTGTGCATGGATGGGCAGTTTTCCCCTGCATCAGTGCCTGTGGAGGGCCANACAAAAAATAGTTAATCTTGTATAATCAAGGTCAAATTTGAAATCTTACTTGAAGTAATACAATAAGAGAATTTAAAAAGAGACCATGAAAAATGACAGATTCCGTACAAATACATTTTATAGAGATTAAACAAATGATTTGTTTTTTAAGTATCCTTAGGATCCTAGGACTGTATTTCTAAGTTCCCAAATTAGTTAAAAAGAGATGTCTACCTTTCTTCTAAATCAAGTCACTAGAGTGAAGAAAACCTTTTTCTCTTAATGACTAAGAAAATAACAGATGATGAGAGCTGCCTTGGGGTGTTAATGATGTAAACACAGAACTGACAACCTTATAATTTGTTCCCACAAACTGTGTGACAAGTCTAATCAACTATGAACTCTCAACTAAGCATTATTTCCTCAAACCAGTTCTGAAATACATGAGCTACTGTTAAAGCTGAGATGAAACATTTTAATGAAAAAGAGTGTCTGGAAAATATAATCATGGTGAATGGATTTAAACTATTTAAAATGGTTTAAATATGAACCAGTAAAAATATTTTATTACTTCACAGTCACACTTGTCTAGCCAAGATGGCAGAACTGGTTCACCCGGCTAAGTGTTTGCTTTCAAAGAGTCTTTGGAAGTTTCTGCATTTGTTTGATTAAATTGCCATTGTTCATATCCTCATGGGAAATTACCCACTGTAACTGCTTCAACAACGTATCTAAGCTTAAAATGTGACCCCAATTGTAAACAGCATATTCATCAGGCTTCTTTCTGAAGGAACTTTGGCTGGCCCCAAAACCTGACCAGACCCTTAAAGGGAAGAGAATACCCTTTATTAAGCACCTACTAAGTGCTGGGAACTGTGCAAGGTGCTTTCCCTTGCAACAACCCTCTATGGTAGGAATTATCCTCTTCCGCTTTCTCAGTGGCAATTGATTCATCTGAGACATCAACCAATTTCCCAAGGGACACAAAGCAAGTAAAGAGGCAGAACTGGGATACCAACCAGGTCTGACGGATATCCTCCATACTGCATTGCCACCATTATACAGAACCAAAACAACATGAGGATTGGTAGGCAGTTCCACAAGACACATTTCCAGAAGCATTCTGTATAATTGCAGTATCACTGGACGAAGTACATAGCCCTCTCAGAAAACAAGTTGGAAGTAGTGAGGACCAAATTGATTCACTATCCAAGGTATCAGAACCCAATTATCTAACACATTGCTTTGTCATGCCCCATCACATATGAATGCTTTCTTTCCTTCGATAAACACTAGGAGGTTGGTGGAGTTCTTGGGGTCCACACAGATGTTAAGACTACAGCTCAGTATGATTATGTAGTTTGCTCAAGGTCACTGACAGAGAGACCAGTCATTCCCCAGGCCCATCCTGCAGATTCTGCCAACCTGGATGCTGGGAAAGGGCACCCTGGTCATCTTCTAGGAAGTCAGGGGCAGGGACAGAAGAGGAACCAGCCTGCCATTTTCCTACTTTGGTGGCCTTTCCACTCAAAAAGACCAAGACGAAGG